ATTATTATGGTATGAAAAGCTTATACTTAGAATAATGCAATCAGTTGGTAAGTACTATTGTTTGGTTATGGTCAAGTTGGTGRTGGTGGGTGTGGAGGTGGAAGAAGATGAAGAAGAAGAGATGAAGTGGAAGAAAATTGCTAAGTGGAGACCAGAGCCAGATGCAGAGCTGTAAGTAGATAGGCCATGTAAATACAAGATACAAATCCATTTATAAGAATGCATTCAAATTTGTGCATCAGGTATCCATTCTTTTCCCCCACGTTGAGACTCATTCATAGTCAGGAGCTGAGCTATCAACCTTCAGAAATATATCATTGAACCCAGGGTGCTTCTTATTGACCATATAAACAGCACAGACCAGATTTTGTACTGCACCTACTCCACAGAGGCATCCATTTCTGCTGCTGTTGTGTACCCTTTATTGTGAGGAGTCCAGAGAGACTCTTATCATTCCATTGCCTTCTTAATGTACAATGACCTGTGATTTGCCCTTTTAATGAAACCTGAAATACCTCATTGCTGCCCTGCAGAGCCAAGCTGGGGACAGATTTAGAGCTGAGTGCAGAGAAGAGTCGTATATGTGTGTACTCATCTGAGAACAATTTTACGGCTGTTGCTATGACCATTATGGTGGGTTGGACGTGGATGTGATCATTTGGAGTCCCTCTTGTTTCATTTTGGGGTGTAGTGATGTTGAAATTCCTTTTCTGAATTTGATCTTCTGCAGCAGTTTGTCTAGTTAATGTTATCACCTTGTTTTCTCTCTTCTAAGGAAGATGTACCATCTCCCACTTCCTTTGTTCATCAGCCATTTAAAAACCATTCTGATTGGATATTTTTCTGCCTCTTTTTCTCTTCCCCAACAAAGCTCCCAGGCATTTATGGATAAGTCTTCTGACTTCTTAGTTGCAGACACAGTATATTCACACTAAATTTGTGGTTAAAGTGGTGAGAAAAAGCATGTTGGGAAAACTTGATGAGCTTCTTTTGTTTTTAGTGACTCTTTGTTCACACACTGTTAAAAATCCAGGTGAACTCAGGGTTAGCCAAGGTTCTGAAATTTCAAAGAGTGAAACTATTAATACTGCACAATTATGGGACATTAAATGAATTTAGCCAACTTGGATACTATGGTAAGAAACAGTTTTCATAATCCATGATTCTGTTCAATCCTGCCTACTCAAAACTCAAAAGTGCACCATAGCATGAATATTTCTTGAATCCTGTTGAAAAACAAAATCTGAGATGCCACTGCAAATCTGCTGAATCACAGTATGCACTCAATTAGGTCCTCAAATAACTCCTATGCCCATTAAAGTTTGAGAACCACTGTGCTAGACAATACTGGATAGTTCGTATAGAATAACAACTATCACAAATAGTTTTAGATCAGTATTAGAAATTGAAGACAGACAGGTGCAGTGGTRCATGCCTATAATCCCAGTTGCTCAGGAGGTTTAGGCAGGAGGATCACAAGTTCAAAGCCAGCTTCAGCAAAAGCGGGACGCTAAGCAACTTAGTGAGACCCTGCTCTAAACAAATACAAAACAGGGTTAGAGATGTGGCTCAGTGGTTGAGGGCCCCTGAATTCAATCCCTGCTACCCTTACTCCCCACTCCCCCCCCAAAAAAAAGAGAAAAGAAAATGAAGACAAATTCAATATGGTATCATTATGGTCCTTTGTAAATAGTTTGYAAAGAGACCAGCAGAGTGGGCTTTGATTTGGTCTTTCATCATGTTGCTTTTCACTTTGCCATTCCTGTATATGATGTACACATTTCTAAATGCAAATGAATAGAAGAAGATTCCTGTAGTTTCCTAACTATTGTCTTTAATAACCAGTATATCTCCTTACATTTTCTGCCTTGATCTTCCTATACAATCCTGTTTGTCTCTTGCAACTTGGATATTCCCTACCACTTTCTTTCTCATCTCCCACTCATTTGACACTTAAWGTTTGTCACCATGCAATGGCATTTATCTTATATAACTGTTTTATTTCCTCCAAAAAGATTATAGTGTGTCTTGTAGTGTTTTGAACATAGTCTTAGTTGGTAAACATTTAGATTAGTAAGAATTTGATAGCATTGATTTTACTATTCCTGCAAAAAAAAAATAGAAAAGTATAGCCATATATATTGAAATTAATCGGCAAAACAATGCGATCACTGTGTGAAATGCAAAGGCATTTATATAATACACTGAACTAGAAAAGTGAATTTTGTTTGGAGGCAAAAAATCTAGTTTTCAACTGAATCTGGGTCACTGAGAAACACGGTTCACTTGATATAATTCTATTAAAGCCATTAGCCTAACAGTTACTATTTTTATGTTTCCATATTCAAGGGATGATATTATAATTGATAAGCTATTGAACTTATCCTTMTAGATTTGAGAAATAGTATAATACAGTGCTTGATAAATTAATTTAGAATCCAGAGTTTAGTTCTGTTTTGTCGCTTACAAATTGTGTAACTTGGGCTATGCTATTTAACTTCTTCGTCTGTTTTTTCCTTTATAAAATGTGAAGAATAATGAAAACTTCATCCTCTTATGAGGAAAATTGATTGAGTTAATACATATTAAATACTAAGTTCCATGCTTGGCATATAGTAGGTGATAGGGCATAGTATAAAACTATGAATATAGATGTGGTCTTTACTTTTATGTAATAGAGTTTAATAGAAGTAACAAGAAATTATAGTAGAGTGATAATGGCTCTAACAAGAAATAATGATCTATGGAAGAACATAAAGGAAGCACCTATCTAGGCTTGATGCTCTGCTGATGAGAAGTAGGAGTGGGGGGACTTTTTTTTCCCCAGAGAAAGTTAAGTCAAATCTGAGACCCAACCAATAGGGAGAAATTAATATGGAAAAATATTTGGTAGGCATTCCTATATGTAAATAGTTCATGTGCTCTGTGACCAATAACTATTCAAATTATAATGAAATGTTATCAGTCTCTAAGAGGGTTCTGTTCATGATATAAACTCRGAATTAACCATATTTGTAACAGATAATAAGGAAAAGATTGAAATCCATGTACAAAAAGCAAATGGATTCGAGTAATTGAAGTTTTGAAGTTTGTGATATTTGTTTGTTATTGAATCAGTACACCTGTAGGCATGAACCTAATGAATTTCCACAAATATGCTAAACATGGACAGAATTGTAGACTTTCCATGAACACTATAAAAGATCAATTTATTATCATGTGTTTTAAGATTTAAATAGGTAAACATTGAGAATTCAAGCAGTCAAAATGCAAGCATTTGTTCATTGACTTCTCAGTGTAAACTACTACATTTTAATCTAAAGTATATTGGGTATGAAATAGACAACAACAAATCCCATTCTAATACAGCAGTAAAAATAAGTAAAATTTATTTACAAAAATAAAAATATATAGATTCAATCTTGTAATATTAGTGTGACTATTTATTTATGCCAATTGAAATGAGGACTTACAGAGAAGCAGTAAGAATTACAAGTCAATATTGCTATACAAAATCACTTAAGAAAATTTAATATAAACATGTTTGTCTACACTATTCTTAATACTAATTTCAAATATCTACTTCTCTTTTTTTTGACCTACTTATTTAAAGAAAATAAAACTCAAACAAAAATTTAACTAAAAATTTGGACCCTTTTCCTTTCTTTAATTTTTTTGTTATTGTCTCTTGTTGAATATCAGTTACCTCTTTTGAAAAATAAGTAACACTAGAATGCTTTTCCTCTTGGCTGGATGACATACTGTTTTTCATGTATTTTCACTTCTTTGAAATAAACATTTAAAAATAAAAACAACTTTACACTTTTGAGTATGGAATAATATTTAATGAGATCCAATTCTTGACTGTTTCACCAAAAAAAGAGCTTTGTATACACTTGTCAATATCTAGTAAGTAAACAGCACCAGTTAAATATAATTTAATCATCCCTTACCTACCCCCCTCCAAAAAAAAGGGTTGAAAAAGAGGTGTTCCCAGTTGATGCACTTGAAGTTAAATGACAATAGTTCAGAAATAGTAGCATTTGAATTGAGATCTTTTAACTTAAAACTCAGTTCCTCTTTATTCTATACTCTGTGATAAATTCCATCTTTAATATTTTATTCTTAAAAATGACTAATCAAGCATTAATTAGCCTTATAACATTCATATAAAATTCACATTCTAATGTGATTTCTGAGCAGAACTAAGCAAACACTGACTCACTGTGCAGTACTCCTGTGACAAAGGGACTTGTTTTCTTTACAGCTTCCCAGAATGGCTTTGCATTCTCTTATAATGTCAAGTTGTGATCACTCAAGAGGGCTGTATGTATGCTTGTTAAGAGCACAGTCTTTGAAATGAGTTCAAATTCAAGCTATGTGAGCATGAACAAGTTATTTATTATCTCTCTGCCTCAGTTATTCTGTTAAATGAGGATAATAATATCAATACGTACCTTGTARGATGGCTATAAAGACAGAAATAGAGAGGGATTGATTAGTAGATTATCTGACTTATAGAGGCATAGACATCAATGATTACTTTGTTCAAATAAAAATAGATTAGCAAAAAGCTAGGTTATGATTCATAAGCATATTTAATCTGATAAAAATAGCTGATCTCCCTGTAGCTTAGAACAGTTTCTGAATATTCATTATACAATAAAATTTWTTAAGGCAATGAGCTATAGTGGTAGTTGGAAAAAATAGAGATGCATAGGGAAGGGACACACTGTTTTATGCATCTGCAGATAAATTTATTTGATAATAATAATATCAGAATGGAAAAACATGATTACCAACCAAAAAATCAATATTTCAAATGCTATGATTTTTATAGTACATGATTTCTAAGTATCCCATCATAGAAGTGATTAATGCCACATAACATTTCTCTTTTGAGTTCAGAGGTGAGATGCTTATATTTGAGGCAAATGATATGATATGAATGATCAAGACTAACCAGCCTTTTCTTTATTTTCTTTCTTAACCATCTCCAGATTCCTCCAAAGTCCCTCAACCGTCTTCAGGTGTAAATGGTAACATGCAGCCTCCCAGCACTGCTGGCCAGGCCCCTGCCTCTGCCATCCCTTCTCCTAGTGCCAGCAAGCCCTGGCGCAGCAAGTCCATGAATGTCAAGCACAGTGCCACCTCTACCATGCTGACCGTGAAGCAGCCAAGCCCAGCCACCTCTCCCACACCATCCTCCGACAGACTGAAGCCACCCGCCTCGGAAGGGGTCAAAACTGCGCCTTCGGGTCAGAAATCCATGCTTGAAAAGTTCAAGCTGGTTAATGCCCGGACTGCTCTACGTCCACCACAGTCTTCGAGTTCAGGACCTAGTGATGGTGGGAAGGATGATGATGCCTTTTCTGAATCTGGTGAAATGGAAGGTTTTAACAGTGGCCTGAATAGTGGTGGCTCAACGAATAGCAGTCCCAAAGTGTCACCTAAATTGGCCCCTCCAAAAGCTGGAAGCAAAAATCTCAGCAATAAAAAGTCTTTGCTACAGCCAAAGGAAAAAGAGGAGAAGAACAGGGACAAAAATAAAGTTTGCACTGAAAAACCAGTCAAGGAAGAGAAGGATCAGGTGACGGAGACAACTCCTAAAAAGACCTCTAAAATTGCAAGCTTGATCCCAAAGGGCAGCAAGACGACAGCAGCCAAGAAGGAAAGCTTAATTCCATCTTCCAGTGGGATTCCAAAACCAGGCTCAAAGGTTCCAACAGCAAAGCAAACCATTTCATCTAGCAGCGCAGCAAGCAAAGAGTCTGAAAAATTCAGGACTACCAAGGGAAGCCCTTCCCAGTCCTTACCTAAGCCCATAACCACTGAGAAAGCAAGTGCATCCAACTGCCCTGCTCCTCTGGAAGGGAGGGAAGCTGGCCATGCTTCTCCTTCCAATTCCTGTACTGTGCCAGTGGTGCAAAGCAGTGGGCAGAGCACAGGAAATGGTGCTGTCCATCTCCCTCAGCAGCAGCAACACAGTCACCCAAACACTGCCACAGTGGCTCCATTCATTTACAGGTAAGATGGCCTCAGTAGGTCCATATTTGTAGTTCTTCATAGTCCGAGTGCATGGCATCAAGAAGTCTGCTGCAGTACTGTCTTAGATAGTCATTTTGGAATAAGGTTTCATTTTGAAGCTAGAGGCCTAGAGTTAAATATGGAATTTTAGTCTGGAAAAAACTTCCAATGTGATCTAGTCTTATTATTTCTCCTCTCCCAACCTTCCACCTCCATCTCTCAGAAACTAAGGGCTTCAAAACTTGAATTCCTTGTTGTTAAAGGAAAAGAGAACCCAGGCTCCATGGGTTTCTTCTCCCTTCAATATTATACTACTGTATTACTACTATAACTTTTTTAGAATAATGTCAGTTTTATGGCAATTAAAAACATTTTTGTTGTCATACTTGGAAGAAAGTATACCATAATGGTTAAAGAGGCAGACCTGGAAGCACCATAGATGTGGATTTAATGCCCAACTGTACCATTTGCCAGCTTCTTGACCTTGATCTACTTGACCTTATTTAACATCTCTTAGTCTCATTTTGTTCAGGTGTCAAGTACAAATAAGAGTTTACCTTGTAAATGGGAGAATATTAAAAGAGACAGTGTTCACTCTATATCCTGGAATATTTTAAATGTTCCTTAAATGTTGTCTGTAAGGCATCATTTTTCCAAAGTAGATTTTATATTAATTTCCAACAYGAGGCATAAGTTTCTTGGTAAAATTAAGTAGCTGTGTAATTAGTATATGCATACTTTGTTATCACATTTATTTATCCTATTTTTTTATTTTATTCTATATGTAGTAATATACCATATATGCTATATCTAAATATAGGCATCATGATACACAGTCATAGAAGTAGTGCACATTGCCTATTTTGTGTGATATGCTTCAGTCTGTTAGAAATCTGTCAGTCACTGCTCTGTCCCCCAATGTTATTCACTGCCTGGCTGGTAAGGACCTGACAAAGGAAGAAATGATGTCTATTTTATTTTGTATCCTTTTGCCACATTGGCAATTTAAAAATAGGAAGGAAATTTTATCAATAGGAAACAGGACCTGCTATAATTAGTCTAKAGTCTAGACTGTGTAGTTATAAAATTTATAAAAAWTTATTCAATGTGTAATTTTTTAAAAAATAAAACCAATTATTATAATGATTCATTTTCCTTCAGTGAAGAACCTGTTTTTCTCTAGAGCTTTATATACTCAGCAAAACAAAATTATAATTATTCCATTTAGTCTCTTGGGATACCTCCATCAATCTTGCTGTTCTCTCTTCAGCAAAAAAAAAAAAGCCTTTGTGTTTGGATAAGAAGAGTCTGGAGACTTTTCAGATTCCAAGGGCCCTGTCTGACAAAGCAGAATTTAGATATCAAAAACATAATCCACATTTCAATAACATAAGACAAAATTATCAAGTCTTAAGTTTGTCACACACAGCACATTTGTGTCCCAGATATATTCTGTAAATACATCCATAATTTTTAAAAAATAACAAATTATTTTCACAGGAAAGTACAAATCTGTATCTGCCAACTTATCAGACTTTTGTTTGTGTTTTGATTCTGATAAAATATCCAGTGATTTTACAAATTAAATAGTGTCCATTTGAAAATTTAGCTTTTTTTTTAATTTAACAAGTTTAATCCTTATTAACATCTCAGATAAGTTCTATGTTGCTATTGACTTTAGTAACATAAGAAATAGAGCTCTAATCCTTTTGTAATTTAATTTTTATTCATAGTTAAATTTGTATGCATTTACCATAATATCATTATGTTTTCGGTGTACACACACACACTATAGGAATGAATAAATATGGCTAATTAGCATATGAGTTTCTCACATAGGTTTCATTTTTGTGGTGAGAACACKTTTTTAAATCCATTCTCTTAGCATTTTTTGAGAAATATTCTCTTATTAACTTAAGTCACCATGTTGTACAGTAGAGCCTTTAAATTTAGTCCTGCTCACTGAAATTTTGTATTCTTCTACCTGTGAATCTCCAAACCTGACCCCAAAGCACCCAACCCTTGGTAACTGACCATTTGCTCTCTACTTCTGTGAGGTTTATTTTAGGTTCCACATTTAAGTGAGATCCTGTGCTATTAGTCTTTCTAAGTCTGGCTTATTTCACTTAACATAATGTCTTCCAGCTTCCTACATGTTGTCACAAATGATAGGATTGCTTTCTCTTTTATTATTAAGTAATATTTCATTGTGTGCATATATGTATTATATGTGTATATACATTTATATCTCACTGAAAATATAACTTTTCAGTATTAAAAGGAAAACKTAGCATGACTTAGAAGTGTTAAGTGTGGATCCGCTGTGTGACCTTGACAAGTTCTTTATCCACTTTGAGTTTTAGATTGCCTATTTTAAAATGAAGATTATAAAAGGGAAATGATGTATCCAAGCAGCCAAGAGTATAGACTGTGTCCTTCTTTACCATTGTACAGGAAGACCATCTTGTGGTATTTGTGAAAATGGCCCTGCTGCATGCTGCCTGGGTTAGAATCTCAGTCACCAAGGATCAATTATGTGATCTTTTCCTCATTTAAAGATTTTGAAACTCACTTCTCCCATCTGTAAAATGGAGGTTTTTAACACTGTCACCTAGCTAACAGCCTTCCCCAAACTCCAAATTCTAATCTTGTAAGCTGTGATTAATAAAATGCCCACCTTAGTCAATTGTTGTATAGCTTAAATAAATAAAATAATCCTACATAAAGCTTTTTAGCAGAGAGCCATATTTGGAGTAAATGACAGAAATGTAAGTAACATATTATTATCAATCTATATGAGACAATGATTAAAATCCCTGACCAGAATAATTTTATGAATGATAAATTAAGTCCTCTTAAGGCAGAGTGATTAATATTCATTATTTTTAATGGTCAGTGAAAGATTTGTATTATAAAGTCATATAAATAAATGATGTGACCCCTGAAGTCCTTGCTCACTCTCACTGTTCCTACTCTAGGTAAGAATCCCTCCTGCAAAAATAGCTTGCTAATGGTTTTATAATGGAATTTTCATTTGCTGGTTGCTTACCTAGTGAAACTGTATGTTACAAGATCAGTGCTTATTTAAACTTGACCATAACCCATGAGAAAGGAATGTTAACTCCATTTTCCATGGAGAAACAGATTTGAAGTCTGAATAGTAATACCGTCTTCAAGTCATAGTACTTGTGGGAGTTTACTTTCGAACTGAAATCTAACTCCCAAAATATTCCTTTTAATCAGTCTATGACATGCCCTCTTTTGTGTATCAGTATTTTTCTATATGTAGAGCAATAAGAGGTTTTGTTACCAGGAAATGTTTAACTAGGAAAATGTCAACAGTACATTTGCAAAATTCTAAGTCAAAGCTTATTTATAATGGCAAATTCTTAATTGTTATTAAGTAATGTGAGTTTAAAATACATACATGTGAATTTGTGTGTCTAAATATATATACATGCTTATGTTTAAAAGCTAAGTAAATCACCTCTATATGCTGGTAAGCTTGATAGCTGATGGTGATTTTTTTCTTTCTTTGCTTACCCCTCTTCTTGGTCATGCTAGGTTAATCCTTATTCCTTCTTGGACATGCTTCATAATACGTTTTCTTGCAAACTGAGTATTTAAAGTCCTCTAAATATAATGTTGGGTTCTGGCATTTAATAGATTCATAAGACTAACTTCTAGTCCAATGCACGGTATTTTACATAATGTTTTTGGAACTCAATTATCCTTACAAAATGATAAAAGTCATTTTGAATTTGTTATCCTTATCCACTAAACGAGCAGAAGCAACTAAGATCAAAGGTGGAGAATTGAGGGAAGGATTTTAAGTTTAATATAAGAAGTTCTCAATAATTAGAGTCGTTTGAAATTGGAATAGGCTGCCCTTTTCAAGTGTTAAGGTGTTCATTGGAAGTATTTAAGAAGTTGTCATAGTTTAGACAACTGGAWATCACCAAATACTTTTCCACTTACGTGGCTTTTTCTCATTCAACAGCTAATGGGTAATAGAGATGTAAAGATTAATAAAAATTGCTCTGCCCTCTGGGAGCTCAGTCTATTGGGGATAACAGTGATAACATAATCAAAGATATGAACCCATTGCTTATCTGGAAGTATAGACAACATATAGAATTATTGTAGAAGGAAGAGGAGGTTTAAAAAAAATTCTTATGTGGGAGTACAGCCCATCAATGCCTCACAGAGAAGTTAAAATAAGAGGTGAGACATACACATGAAAGGGAAAATGATAGGCCATCATCCAGATTTGCTGTTCTGCAATTTTATGATCCAGGCATGATGGGAAAAAAACGTTTATTCTTTTGTGAAGTGCTACAAACTGCTGGAGACTAGGGTTTAGAACTCATGAGCTTCTAAATAGGAGACTAAAGAAGAAATTTTGGAAAGAAACTCATATTTTATTTCTATCTTCAATGAATCCCTCCCCACACATGCAGCTTTCAGCTAGTCCTATGAACATCCTCTCAACACATCTCCTCATCCTTTCTGTTTCCATTCACCTCTCCTGGTTTAAGCCATGTATCCACCAATTCCCAACTAGTTTCCTGTGAGTCTCCGGTTCTTACTCCAGAGCTAATAAAATAACACCCTTCACACAGTAGGCACTCTGACCTTCTAAAAATGAAAATCATATATAGACAAGCCCTGCCATGTGATGGTTTGACTTGTAGGGTTTTTTTTTTTTTTTTTACATAATGATGGTGTGAAAGTGAAACATACTCAGTAAAAATTGCTCTTCAAGGGGCTGAGGTGGTGGCTCAGTGTAGAGCTCTTGCCTAGTACATGTGAAACACTGGGTTCGATTCTCAGCACCACATAAAAATAAACAAATAAAATAAATGCATGTTTTCCATTCATAACTCCAAAAATATTTTTTAAACTCCTTTTTAAATTTTGAATTTTGTTCTTTTCCTGGGCTAGTTCTATGCAGGGATACTCTCCGTGTGGGGCAGTGGCAGTGAGCCATAACTCCTGGG